TTTGGAATACATTAAAGTAAAGTGAAAATTCTTGTTTCTTTATAATAGAAATTCTGTAATCCACAACTTCCTTTAATCGCCATAATGTTTCTATAGACTCGTATCCCAAATATATATATCTTGAATATTCTTCTTTAATTTTTATAACAGGAAGACTGTTGACTTTCTCAAAATATAATTTAAAGTTGTCTATATTCAACATGGGTTCGTTAATTTGCTGGGGAAAGCAGAAGTAGTTTTCAATAACTCCCCGATGACTGCAAAAACTATTCCAACTTTCTTCACTTAGAGTTACAGAAAACCCATTTTTTCCACCGATTATAATTTTCGGTGAAAAATCTTGATTACTTATACCAACAATAACAAACTTTGACGAAGATTTATTCAAAAAGAAAATTTTTGAATTTAAAAGATTTTCAAAATTTTTAGAAGACATGGTGAATGAACTAAATAATATTAAGTTCTCCTCTTACTTTAATATTCGAACCCCTACCAATTCATACCCCCACCTATTGATATCGTCAACTCATGCGCATTGCTTATTGTCTATTCACAACAATCTTTTAAATGAAATTAATTAATGAAAGTATAAATTTCCTGTTTGAAATTTATAATAAAAAAAGATAATTAAAATTGTAATATACAAAAATATAGTAAAAGTTAAAAAGAGATTAACGATATTAAAAATGTTATATCCATTATTTTTTTCATTAATAAATTTAGTATAGTTGAATGATTCATTTTGAAAATATGTATATTTTAATTCGGATCTTTCAATCCAATTAGTATCAAAAATGGTTTGATTGGAATAATGATATAAAATTTTAAAAAACCTACTAACATTTTCTCCTTTGTTTATGGGATATATAAAACTAAGCGTATTATTATTGATTAAACCAACTTTCATAAACTGACAATTTTTATCAAGTGTAATGTTTGTTTCATTGGAAAAACATATTTCACAACGGGTTACAGTGGGGGGATAATGAACATAAATAACATTTTGAAATATGAAATAAAGGAGAATAAAATGGGTTTGATGAGCCATTGAAGGAAAGTAAATATTTTATTAAAAATTTATTTAACTACAATTTACTTCCAATCAAGATGGTTACCAAATGATATTTGACAATATCTTTTCTATAGATGAATATAAATACTTAATAGCATAAGAAATATATGTTAAAAAAAAGATGTAAATTAATGAATAATAATATCATCAAAATTACACGTTCCAGTGAATTATTAGATTTTTTGAATTTTTGTTTCTTATTTTTTTGTATTGGCTTAACCATAAACATTCGTTTAAATTACATAATGGAGAAATTTTGTGATGCTCTTCGACAGGACAGTCATCATAGAACCATTCATAAATTTCAGTTCCACAATAGTAACATTTGCATACATCACTATATGAAATATAATAAAAGCCTGCTCCTGCTAATACCTCAGGTTCCAATTTTCCATTCCAGTTTTTAAAAGTAGAAAGTCGATTTTCGTAGGTTTTATAAGTAACATCATCAATATCTTTATCAAAACTTTCCAAACACATCTTAAGAAATGTTAATAAGGAATGAAATATTGTCAAAGGCGTATTCTTTAAGTAGGTATATTTTTCATTAAAAATGCATTAACTCATATAAAAGTATATTATTAATTAAAATTACAACAACTAAAATCAGAATTAATCTAACATATAAAATAATTAAATTAGTCACTACATTCTAAATTCCATTTAACATATAAAACTAAAATACATAAAATATAATTGTTCCTCTAACTCTATAACTAATATGTATACATTATGATAAGTTCTAAAGGAATAATAAATTAATATTAATAAATATATACGATATTTCAAACGTGTAAGGTGTTCGTGTGACCAGATTTGTGCTTTTGTGTTTGACTTTGTTTCCAACTGTTTATAGGTAAATATATTTTTTTAAATGGATCTAAATACAATCAGAGTGAATCATATTAAATGTTTAAATTAAAGAAATAATATTAAATTAAATATTATTTAAAAAATATGCTGAGGTCTGGATGATCATCATTCCACTGGTAAAATGAAATATCATGATGACCCCAAGCAAGTGTTTTAAAATCATGTGGAATTTGATCTTTTATTATCTTCAGAATTCAAAGCAATTTTATGTATTAATTCAGTAAAAATTGAATGTAGTCTAGAACGAAAAACATACATGGAGCAAAAAATTTTAGAATTATTTTCTACTACATCTTTATAGTGGATAAAATGCAACTGATTTTTAGTAGCATGTTTTCTTATACCTTTAGCTTTCTTTAATAAACCATTTTCGGAGTAGACAGACAGACAGACAGGTAGTAGATAGACAGCTGAGACAGACAGGTAGTGACAGACAGACTGACAGACAAAGAGAATTTACACCCACCACTTTGGGTACAAAAAGGACAGAATGGTCCTTCATAAGAAAAAGCATAGGATTTTGAGCTCGAACATAAGTTGCTTATCTACTTCCGATACCATAGAAAGCTACAATGGGTTCACTAGCATATTTATCCTTAAATTTACCAACCACTGATTGTGTTATAGGCATATTATGATTATTATTTGGCAAATAAGTGTCAAATTTATGAATATTTCTATGCATATCATGGTAAACATTTTCTGTTGTCACTTCCAGAATAAAAGAATCTGTATCAGTATACAAAAGAGACACATTATCTTTATACAAAGGTTTTAAAAAATTATAAAAAAAATCGTACATGACAGTTTTTGATATGTCTAAAATACAAAATCCAACGTATATTGGTTTATTATAAGTAACTAGTATTTTTTTCATTTGAATAGCCAAGTTTTCTGAGAAAATTGTTAAGTCCTTGAAATATGGCTTTGCTAACAAATTTTCAGCTCCATCTGTTCTTTTATTTTTTTCCCATTCGGTAACAAGTCTTACATCGACTCTCCTATCCACATTTTCCATTGTTTTGCCGTATATACTATTGTTTGCTAATTTGTATGTGTGGCGATCAAATTCATTTTTCGATTGATTTCGTAGTGTGGTATTTAAGTCTATAAATTTTTTTAACCAAGCAGATTGTGAAAATTGTATTACTCTATGAATTTTAGAAATCTTAAGTCCATTTTGTAGACATTGTTTTAACAATTGGTAATGAATTACATATTTTAACTTATTGTTTAAATTTGGTATTAATTTTGTAGATTTTGAATTAGGTGGTTTATAATTTTCAGGGCAAAAAGGAAAATCATTATGAGTGTCGTGGAGACTTTCAGGATATTCCAGATCAACCTCTAGAACATGTCCTTTGCTAGATGTACTAGAAATTGAAAAAATATCTAGATTTTTTATTTCTTTTTCGGTTAACCATACAAAATCACCTGTTGGCAGATATTGGGACATAGCAAAACCGTATAAATTTGTTGCATCATAGTACATTATATATTTATTAGGTTTTGTTGCATCAAAATTTGATAGAAAAGGATTGTTTGTCTCTGATTTCCGTGTTATGCATGAAACCTCTATATTTTTCAAACTTAGAATATTTATCATCAAATGAACATTTGATGTAATACGCAAAAGAGTATGGAATATGTTTAAATTTTTTTAATGTATATGAATTATTTGGATTTTCTACATCATAATTCTCATTCAAAGGTTTTAAAATACATTCAAAATCTGCATATACTATAAAAGGAACTTTCATTTGCTTTCGATAATTAACATATTTTAATGTGTTTTCATATGCTACATTTCCATATTTGTCTTTAAATAATTCTTTAGAAGGTAAATTAATTCTAACATGATCACAATCATAACTATTATGTTACTGTAATTTTTGTTCTGTGTCAAAGTATTGAAGACATCCTTCACACAAATATTTTCTTCCATTATGTTTACTAAGTTGTTTAGAAATTAATTTAGAAAGATCGGAAATGTAGCAATAATGAAAATTTTCATCATCATCATTTATTAATAATAAATTAACATGAATATTTTTTCTATCACTAGAAAAATGTAGAGGACCAATTATTTTTTCATATTCTTCATTATTAGAAATTTTATTACAATATTTTTCTAAACCGTACACATTGATAGAAATATTGTTTTGATTTTCAAAATTTTTAATATCTTTTAATGATATTGGAAAATCAATACCTGTAGTGTTCAAAACTGTTGAATAGTGTGGGTATGATGATGTTTGAAAATCAACACCTGTTGGAGGATGAAGGGCTGCAACTACGGACCATGCGAAGCAGTAGTCATCCTTATTTCTTATGTTGACGTCGTACTATTGACGTCGTACTATTTTAGGAGGAAGTTAAATAAAAGATGATGCTCTCAAAGGATTGAATTTGTTGATGTTAATTTCCATAAAAAGAAGATTTAGTAAAATCCATCCTGAAACAAAAATAAAACTAATGTATTATGTTACATTTATATTAAAAATATAACACTTACCAGAGTCCCTTTCTGCGAATTCATCAGCCTTGTTGTCAATAATTGTTGCAAATTCTTCTATCAAATCCTTTGTTGCACTGCTGTTACAAATTACTTTAAATGGAGTGTTGAACGATTTGACATCATGATTATCAGTACTTGGATTATAGTAATATCCAAAAAGTTCTATATTGATTTTAATACAAGTATGTTTTTTCAATTGATTGTCAAACACCCGTAGAATCTTTTGTTCCAATATTTTAAAATAGTTTTTAACATTTAAAATATTTTCTTCGGTAGATAATCTGTATGATATTATCCTTTCCTTGAAAGCTGATTTTATTACTTGAATTCCTTTTTCCTCCAACGTTTTACAGTTGTTTTTGTGACTGTTTGAATGCAGATGACCAACCCACAAATTTTGTAAAATATGTTCTTTACATTCTGAACAATATTTTTCTATAAATGAAATTATTTTGTTAGTTTATAAAATTATACAATGGGAATGTCTTACTTTTTTCTTCAGCTGCTGACCTACCCAAAAAACGGTTTAGAAAAAGAAGACTTCTTGCACGTATTCTTTAAGTGGTGAGATAGGTTGTCTTTACGAGTAAAGGATTTTTGACAAGATGTACATGTGAACATCTTTCAATTTAATTCTGTAATATAAGATTATGTTGTATATTTGAATATTTAAAAAGTTATGAATAAAATTTGGAAAGAAGAAGGTATAAATATATTTTTTCAATTTAATTAAATTAAGAAATGGAAAAAAAAAAAAAAAAAAAATGTAAATATTTAATCAAATGAATCCACTAACGTATCGAAACATTGTTTTAAACGTTCTATTCCTGCAGCATTTTCTTCATTAATAGTAATATTTTCAACAACATTTTGAAGCGCGTAACCTAAAGTTTTTAATTTTGAATATGGTTTTAGATATTTTCTTAATGTTTTAGTTTAATGATTAAAATAACACGAGGATTTGAAAAGTTTTTGAAGGCAACAACTTGCAATAAATTAATTTGTGATCCATTTTAAAAAAAATATTTACCTGTAAACAGTTGGAAACAAAGTCAAACACACCTTGCACGTTTGAAATATTGTTGCAGTCTGCGGTAAAAGCAAGTTCTTTTATAGTAGGTTCTTGACTATGGATGTTCGATTTAAATCGATTCTGCAGAAAATCGATATTTTGTCATGCGATTCCCGATTTTTTTACAAAAATCTCTCTATAAAAGAAAATATTTATAAGACTAACATTGTAAAACAGTGAGAAAAAGTCTTACCCTTTTTTCAGCAGACTTTCCAAACCATCGGTTGAAAAAACTTGACTTGCTACAGGCAGTCCTCATATGGCGTAATAGATTATCTTTACGATTAAAAGATTTAACACAAGATGTACAATTGAACATGTTGATATTTTAGTTCTACAAAAGAATTCTATGTTTTAACTTATATTATTAAAATATTATGTTGTATCTATGACCTAATCATGAAAGAAATTTGGAAATTGTATATTATATTGGGCACTTAGTTGGTTTTGTGTTTGTTGGTGTAGTTTGTCTATTTTTTAATTTTACTCTAGTTACTGTTCATGTATCCATGGTGAATTAAATTTAGACAGTCTGTTTTGTTAGTGTGTTTGTTGTCTGTTTTGTGGCTTTGTGTTTGTTGGTGTAGTTTGTCTATTTTTATTGTTGAGTGTTTGTTGTCTGTTTTGTGGCTTTGTGTTTGTTGGTGTAGTTTGTCTATTTTTTTAATTTTACTCTAGTTACTGTTCATGTATCCATGGTGAATTAAATTTAGACAGTCAGTTTCGGTAGTGTGTTTGTTGTCTGTTTTGTGCTTTGTGTTTGTTTGTGTAGTTTGTCTATTTTTATTGTTGAGTGTTTGTTGTCTGTTTTGTGGCTTTGTGTTTGTTGGTGTAGTTTGTCTATTTTTTTTAATTTTACTCTAGTTACTGTTCATGTATTCATGGTGAATTAAATTTAGACAGTCAGTTTCGGTAGTGTGTTTGTTGTCTGTTTTGTGGCTTTGTGTTTGTTGTGTAGTTTGTCTATTTTTATTGTTGAGTGTTTGTTGTCTGTTTTGTGGCTTTGTGTTTGTTGGTGTAGTTTGTCTATTTTTTTTTTAATTTTACTCTAGTTACTGTTCATGTATCCATGGTGAATTAAATTTAGACAGTCTGTTTTGTTAGTGTGTTTGTTGTCTGTTTTGTGGCTTTGTGTGTTTGTTGGTGTAGTTTGTCTATTTTTATTGTTGAGTGTTTGTTGTCTGTTTTGTGGCTTTGTGTTTGTTGGTGTAGTTTGTCTATTTTTTAATTTTACTCTAGTTACTGTTCATGTATCCATGGTGAATTAAATTTAGACAGTCAGTTTCGGTAGTGTGTTTGTTGTCTGTTTTGTGGCTTTGTGTTTGTTGGTGTAGTTTGTCTATTTTTATTGTTGAGTGTTTGTTGTCTGTTTTGTGGCTTTGTGTTTGTTGGTGTAGTTTGTCTATTTTTTTAATTTTACTCTAGTTACTGTTCATGTATCCATGGTGAATTAAATTTAGACAGTCTGTTTTGTTAGTGTGTTTGTTGTCTGTTTTGTGGTTTTGTGTTTGTTGGTGTAGTTTGTCTATTTTTATTGTTGAGTGTTTGTTGTCTGTTTTGTGGTTTTGTGTTTGTTGGTGTAGTTTGTCTATTTTTTAATTTTACTGTAGTTAATGTTTAGTTGTGTTTTTGTATTGTTTATTTGTCCATAGTGATTTACTGACTATTTTTATCTATCTTTTGTTAATCTATTTACCTGGGTGTTTTTATAATGCTATTTTAATATTAATAACGAGTTAAATTTTTGAAGAATATTATTTTTATAAGTGTAAAAATATAATTAAGAACTGGACAAGTTTTTGAATAGAAAGTCTTAATTTTATTAGATGAATATGTAAAACTATAACTTACCAAAACTATAGATATTAACTTTAACTAACACAAATAATGTTTATCAAAATATCCTTAATTTTATTGCAATGGGTGCGAAATTTACAACCAAACCATCTAACCGTCTTTTACAAGCAACTGGTCGGCAGAGGCGAGGTCGATCTGAGATTATATCTGCAGGTATCTGGTTCTCGATTCTCTCTGAGATCGTTGAACCTGTGATACTGGTTTTATTTTTTAAATTTTATATTAGAGATGAGCAATGATTTGAAATATCGATAAAATGTTTTATTTAATAATAATATATTAAACTGGTTGTGTTGTTGTTTGCTTGTGTGTGTGTTTAGAATTAAATGAAGTGTTTGATGGGAACATTGGATAAAATCTCTAGAACTTTTTTTAAATGATATTTATCTGTCAAATCAATAGAATTTTTACATGATGTGAAATAAAACTGCAAATATTTATAGTCACATTTATTTTAATCCCCTTTTTATACTCTGGACAAAGTAATATCTAATTATATCTTTTCGAAACTGCACTAAATATTTATAATGTAAACCACATAGTGGACACTTAGTTGTCATTTTTGCTCATAATGTACATCATTCCATGTTAATATACAGTTTAAGCAAAAAAAGTGTGAACATGTATTTGGCACACAAGTTTCGTAGCAATCAACCATGTCTTGACAAATAGCACAAAACTGTCGCTTAATTTCCTCTACATTTTCTTTTGTATTTTGTCCTGCAGGTTCTAGATTCTTCTTCTTCCCTAGGAGGAGATTGTAATACACTAAGTATAGATTGGTGTTGAACAGTAAAACTCGTCTGTTGAGAGAGGGTTTGTAAATTATTTTCGTCGGTCATTCTGAACTAATACTTACTTTTGGATGTTTTACTATATATATGATTGGATATTGATATAGTGGGGGTAGAAATAAGTGGGGATAAGAATATCTCTGTTTCTCTATATCATCCCTCTTTGAAGAAAAAAGTAGGAATGAATCGACTTGTTATATATGGGTCGATAGTTATTATCTAAGACATTTTTAATATAATGAAATATCGAAAAGTAGTATATCGATATTTCTGTACGTCCCTATAAGCTAAGAGTTCAATGCCGCAGAATAACGGTACAAGGAGGGAAAATCACAGAAATGAGGAGGAAGCTCTCTCATGGTACAAGGAGGGAAAATCACAGAAAATGAGGAGGAGGCTCTCTCATAAAATACCTACTTGTCAAGGTGTATGTGGCGACATCTGTCGGAGAAGTGAATAAACCGCAAGTGAATTGCTGGTTGAGGACTATCTGAGGACATTGTTTTTGAGGCGCCATCTCTTAGCCAAGTAGAAAAGCGAATCAGGCGGCAATAGACTTTACTAGTAGGAGGCAGAATGCTACCGATAATTTTAGAAGGTTCCAGAAACAGTTGGTAGAGTATATAAAGGCGCGCGATCGGCAAATTGCGAATCGTGACAATTTAACGAAGGATTTTATAAATAGTTAATTGTGTGTTATAATCAGTATAATGCAGGGTTGGAAAAAATCATGACTTTTTAAAAAAATAAAAAAAGTCAGATTTTTTTTATTTAAATCGGATTTTTTTGATTTAAATCAGATTTTTTTGATTTTAATTGAAACCAATATTTAAATCGGATTTCCAAATGACTAGGACTTATTTCCAATTAAAGTCCTATCCTAAATGGCTAAATCTTTATAACTCTGAGCGATACCGATAACATTAATAATTCTACGGCACGTGGCATTTTTCCACATCGGTCACCAATATATTCCCCAAAAAAGTCGCTCGCTTCAGATCAAAAGGATTTTTTTTCAAACGTCTCAAAAGTATTAATTTTTGTCATTTTAATAGTAAAGCGCTGTTACGCCTAAGCACAAAAGTACAAAAATATATTATTAAACTGATATTAGGTGTCAAATTCAACGAGTGTACAAATCGTTTCTCGATTACTGTTTGTATTATTTGCAATGTTTGAAATTGAGTAAAAAAATTTTTGTAATGTTTTAAAAAAAAAATAGTGTTTTATTCGGAGTAAAAATGTAATTTTTGTGCCTCCTTGTAACGTCGGAATAGCTAGATGGTCCTTAAAATGTACAGCATCGTCAAAAAAAGTATAATTTCTACTCTTAATAAAACAATACACTATTGTTCGGAAATAGTCTTAAGTCGAGAATGGAATTAGCATTATCTAATGTCAAAGTGTAAAGTACTTACTGCAAATCAAAATATCGGTAAGAATTTGGAAACATACAACCGTTTCAAAAAAAAATAAAACATTTTGTTTTCTGACAACGATTATAGATTCTCAGGTATGAAGATATAATCTCTATATCAGAAGAACATATGTAGTTCTGTACTAGTCTGCGAATGATATGTATTCGAACAGCGAATTTTTGTCACTTATACATAAATTTTAAAATAAATCCCTGCGTTTAGCGGTCTTATGGATTCACACCAAATTACTTTAAAAATCGGTTCAACATTTAAATTGATGAATAGGTATTTTTATACAGTTTTATAAAATTTACAATTATTTTTCGATTTATTATCTGTTATATCTGTTATAGAAATATTATTATAGCTTTCTAAGACAGATTTTTATAACTTTTATAGTTATTTTTTGATTTATTATAAAGTTTCAATAAAATTAATTTTTTGATTTAAATCACATGATTAAAATTAAAAAAATCACTTGATTTAAATCACGATTTAAATCATGATTTAAATCATTTGATTTAAATCATGCCAACCCTGGTATAATGAGATAGATATAGTAAGAAAATAAATCCGTTAAGTATTTGTATCGTGAGTTTAAATTAGTGGACCCACGGAATCCGTAACAATATATTTTCCCCTGGACAGACAATGCTAAATTAAACTACTTAAAAAACTATTAAAAATAATTCTGAAAGTTACCAAATATAATCTAAGGAATATCTTGAACCTGAAGGACTATTTAGGATACGGGTGAATATTTTGATTGTTTTACTACGATGTTCTTGCTTCTTTTTGAACTTTTTTCTGTAACAGAAAAATTAAACAACACCAGAAAAATTTATTCGTACCTCATAACAATAGACTTAATAACTATAAACTATACAACAACGAATGATTCTTATTTCTATCTTTTACAAACAAACCAAAATAAAAACAACCATCAAGAAATAAATAATTTCAGAATAAAATAAATCAATACATAAAAAATCATCATATTATCGCAATCATAAAATGAAAATTATTATTTATATTATTAAGTAGAGTTAAGCAGCTCACTATTTTTACTATAAATCTACTTTTTACTGATTATATTTTTTTTATTTATCTATAACTAATATGCTTTTATTTACATTTATATTGATAGAAATGATAGAAATAATAAAACAAATATGAGTAAATGTGTGTATTATATAATTTATATGAAGAAAATGTCAACTTAAGTAAAATTATGTATACCGTATGATCGATTGAAAACGTCATCACTCATCACAGTAGTAAGTAAAAATATAAAATCTGTTTTTGTTCTGATTACAAAAAACAAATTTACACATTACATGAAATGACTAATTACAAATAAGTTTGTCGCTACTGTGGCTAACAAAAAGAAACTTGAAATAAAATGTCATTTCTATGCCTAAAGGTGCGTATTCATTATCAGCACGAACGAACGAACGAACGAACGTACGTTCGCTAGTGGTATGGACGGGGACCGTATGATAGAACCGCACGAGAAGACCGGAGGCATTTGTTGACGAACGCCTTTGATGTACCGACTCGAAACGGATGGTCGAGCGAACGAACGAACGAACGGCCGCATGCGTTCGGTCCCCGTCTAAATATACCGCACTTTCATTCGTTCGTTCGTTCGTTCGGATAATGAATACGCACCTTAATACGACATCGTTTTTGAGTCCATCATACCGTATACAGGTTGATAATTTGTTCATTACTCGCGGCAAGAGCTTTATGGTTGAAATATGGCAACCTCGGCCCGCTCGTCGATAGACGACGCGATGGGACGAGTCGGCAGAAAAATCAATAATGCATGCATTCTCAATAGGCAGTGTTGCCATTCTGTTCCCCTATAAGTAACTGTCGAGTTAACAACCTGTATATATGCATAGACTTCTGAAGTATGAAGTATGAGCTTAAGTTTAACCAGAGATTTTAGATTAAATAAAACCTATATAAAATCTTTAAGTAAAGCTTTTGTGATATTTACAATTTTTAACTTCTTTATTTGATCCCAATCTTTGAATTATGATTGTCAAAATTATTCATAAAAAGTTGTTTCTTATAAATATTATTGGATATAATCCCAGATCTTTATATTGTATATACTGTGATGATAGTAAAACATCTTAGGTCCTTATGATCGAAAAAAAAACGGCGTCAGAGTTGGTTTCGAAATGAAAATCGCTGCCATTTTATATGTATAATTATATCGATCGTTATTTCCAAGAGAACTTTACGCCGTTTTGTTTTTCGATTATACGATACTGTCGTGAAATCATCACACAGTGGTCGTTTGCTTGGTTCTTTTATTTTCTTATATTTATATATTCTTTTTTGTATTCTTATTTGACTTCAATTATTTTTATAAAGTTTATTTTATATTTATTTTAGTATATAGATATCTATGTAAGTCGATTGATTGCATTGTCTTCTATTTCAAATAGAAATTTATATCTAAATATATATCGAAAAAATCATTTTGAAAAAAACTTAATACCTTTAGAAAAAAAATGGTCGAAGTGTTTGACACCATAAAAATTCAGGTTTCGTTCGATATTTATCCAATTTTAAGCATAGAAAATGTCGTAAATGGCTCTTGGACAATGTTCGGCGATGAATGACTTGATTTTCTCCTTCCTGGACACGGGGGTGTACTTGATTAGAGGGAAGGTGCGGATTACTGCGTCATTGAGGGCTCTCAGTACTGGTGCTAGGTCAGCCTCCTGTAACATTTACATAAAGCCGATAATTAAATTGCTATGCTTAATAAACTATGGATGAATATGGTATATTTTGGATACTATTGTATTTACTGGTGGAAACAATTGTCAGAACTGCCATAAAATTTGAATTTGGTGGGAATGCTTTGGAATATCCACGCAACGCAGCTATTTTAATTTTATTTACGCCAAAGTAACCAAATCAGGCTTTTTAAACTGAATTTACCACGAACGTCAATAGGAAATTTATGGCTACGTGACAGACCTTCGAAAACTTCTCTCAAATTTTGTCCAAGAAACAAAAATAGGCAGTCAGTTGCCATAACATAAATCTTGTTGTAAAACTTCTAGCTAAAGCTGTCGAATCCTCGGGGGTTTGCCTCCTTTACCCCATTTTGAGAAACTCTTCTAGATAGTGTTACTTTACTTGGGGTTTTCCCATGTGTGGTATAAAATATTTAGGACGCTAATGATAATACTCAAAAAGTTTTATTGTTTATTGCTGACCCTTGAAATAATATATATTATAGGATAAATAATATATAAATAAAAATTATCTTCATCCTTCATCTTAATTAGTTCTAAAATTTTAGGGGAACTCTCTTTTAAACATTGTTATTTTTCTGTTTTTCTTTTTCTGTTCTGTTGATAAATAATTTTAATAAGTAGTGATAAAGACAATTTCCACTTTTTTCTCTCTGCAAAATGGCAAGAATAATGTTTCGTATATTGGAGACACCATCATCAATTTTCTTAACTTAAATTATATCACTATTCAATGCCAACTACAAAAAGATGTGATAAAAAATACGTCTACTGGATCCGTGTCTATGAAAGGAATTTCAAGAACGCAGACGAAATATTGGAGTATGATTACTTTACTACAAAACACATTCAAACAAACAGCAATATATTTTATAGATCGCTGCCTACATATATACACGCGACAGAGAGTCCACGTGGACCGCGAATATATATATAAACGGAATTTGGTTTAAGTATTTAATACTCATTTCCAACTACAGCCTATTGCTGCCTTCCCGTTACCCTACGCCACACATCTCGATTTAGAGCGTCATCAGCTTCTAGGTTACGAGCTTCCATTGCTTCCGTAACCGTTCCGTTCCAGGATTTTCTAGGTCTACCTCTCAGTTGCATGATTTTATTAATTTTTATTGTTTATTTTTCTTCTCGCGTCTCATTTACGTGGAAAAACTTTTGAAAAAAAAATAAAACTGATTTGGTATTTTTTGAAATTTTGTATAAGTCAGTAATGTTATTTAACCCTCAACTGGTGTGGTGGGGTCTAGCGGACCCCTAAGCACTATTTAAACCTCTGTAAAATGTCTACGTTATTTACCTTTTAGTTAGGGTACCAATATGAAACTGTTAAAGGCCCACTGGATTTTATCAAGTATTGTTCCTGCCAGCAGGGGGGCTAAAAGTTTCATTGGAGGTCTATGGTGGTACCACGCCAAGAATGTTTCATTATTAGGATGGTGCGTAGTCTAAAAAGTGTGCCTCTCACTTGGGCGCTAATTTTGAGGAGAAGCATTAATTGAGTGGTTTCATGAACTTCAGAAGAGTAACCATAACTCCGATTCTGAATCTTTTACTTATAGAAGAGAAAATTGAATAATCAATACCAGAAAAGAAAGAGATGTGGTATATATATGTCAACGGTGGCAACCTATATGTCAACGAAGAACTGACAAAAAAACAAAAATCTCATGAATCAAATGTGTACGATCCATGTGCAGCAAAATGCAGATCCTATATATTAGCATAAACTGTATACGAAAAAATTATGTACATTCAAGGTTTGCAGTTGTGTTGAAAATAATTTATGTTAATTACTTTAGCTTCACATTTCAGTTGTTTCGTACTTTAGTAATACGGTAAAATCATAAAATATATATGTTTTTAATTTCTATGGGTTTCCTAGCCAAGTTATATTTCTGTTGTCAAAAATTCTAAAAATGCGTTTTACTTTTCTTTATTTTTGTGTTCGTTCTTATTAAATTTGTGAAAATTAATGAAATTGTTTGTTCACAAGTTTGAATATATTGTAAAAAGTGTTAAAATAATCAAAGATTTTTATAAAATCTCTTCATCATGTATTTTAACTGAAAAAAAATTGGGGGTCCGTTTGTTTCCCCTTTACGGATGCCCCGTAGTTACAGATAGGATACCAAACCAAACCAAACCAGAATTTTTGAGATTATTGAAAAAAAGCATTCTTTGGAAAAATTAGAAATAACAGCATTTAGTGACCAGTTAGTTTATAACTGTGCTGAAACACACAAGTGGAACCAAGTTGATTGAAATCAGTTCATCCAAAGCAGGGATATCAACATTTGGGCATAGATAAAGGAAACAAGTTTAGATTGGAAAATGCCCATAAGAACAATATAAATACTATTTGGCGCTATTCTTACAACGGTCGCTCTCCAAAGGTTTTGGTAATTTCGGAGCGGTTCGGCTTTTTCCGGAATTACGTCGCCAAATATTATTTATTCAAATCTATTATTTTCTTATAATTTTTAAATAAAATACAGTGTGTTGCATATATAAGAAACTTTATTTTATATAAGGACATGTATGAAATACCTATAAAAACCGACGTTATGCCACGATCCACGATGGTTTTTCCAGTTCACAGTTCACACAGATTTTTAAGTTTTTTAACAATTATCACGGGTTTGAGTAAATAAAATTTAAATTAAACTCACAAGATAGCAATAATTACTTTGGAAATGGACGCTTTATACACTTTTCTGATATTTTTTTCAATGAGGGCAGTTTAAATTTTGAAAGATTTTATAATTTTTGAAGATTCTGACCAATAATTTTGACTTTTAACAAGAGAAAATTATTTCTGTTTACACCGCAAACAATTATAAGTTTTGGTGACAAATGAGAGCATTCCAATCTAAACTTTCTTTATCTATGCATTTGGGACTTTGTCTAAACTTTTCCTCCTTTTCCCACTATATTATTTGTGACCATAGGCCAATAGGAAACACCTCTTTAATATATTAGATTTTCTTATACCAATTTCCAAAATAGAAAAAACAGCCCAAATATAAGTTTGGTTATATTTTGACATAAAATACTCCTCTGTTCTCTATTATTGGACCACGCTGTACAACTACAAGGTTGCCGTTGTTTCTAAATTCATTTTTCACTATTAGGCACACCTCCACTAAATAAGAGGTTAAAGCCCGTTTGCTCTAATCCAAAGCCCATACAGAGAATAAAGTAAACCTTCGCCCTATAAAGATTAATTGACCTATTATTTTGACCTGATGGAGAATCTAAGGGAAAAGTTAAGGGAAACCTGATTCTTTTTTCTTTTCACACTTTCTTTTAGTCGTTAAAGCTTTTCCTAAGGTTATAAATTACGATAAGTAGGTATCTTGAAAATAACGATTCGATTTTTTGTAAAGGGATGAAGACATATTGAATAAAAGTTTCTTATAGTAGTTCTGAACCTGAATCGAAATTTACTTAATAAAAGAGTAAATTTTGACTTGAGACATTTCCTTTAATTTTAATATTCACAAAACATTAAACGAGAAATCCAAACCCCAAATCATAGACACAATGATAACAATACACAATATATCAAACTTACAATTCCATACATACGAGGCGTTTCGGAAAAAACAAGAAAATAATATAACATACGAACATCTTTCAAAACACAAAATACACTTAGATCCATTTTGTCACATACTAAACCAATGAATACAGAACAACAAACAAAAAGTGTAATATACCAAATACCCAGTGAATGCGATAAATTTTACATTGGTGAAACATCTAGACCCTTAAATGTTAGAATTAAAGAACATAAAGATTATTTAAGAAAGGGAGATTTTCACAAATCTAAGATTTGTCAACATTCATGGGACACAAGGCACAGAATAAATTTTAATAACGCCAAAATTATAATGAAAGAAGCGATAGCCTCTAAAAGAAAAATAAAAGAGGCTTTTTTAATTCAATCTAATAAAAATAAATGTATTGCTCATGCATCTGTAGATGTTAGTAATGTATGGCAATCGCTTCTTTGATTTTAAAGAACATAACATAAATAAGAAGATCTAAAAAATGTACTAGTTAAGCCTATATTTACTTAAGTATCTAAATATGTGGCCTGTTAATTTCTGGAAAGACATTTTTTAGATTTTGGTTTCACTTGCGAAAAGCCCAGCCTTTTCCAGAAATACATTTATTTATTCTATGCACTCATACGAACTTAAATGAAACCCATTTGCCATAAGGCATTATAACATTGTTTCATATAAAATAAAACTGAAAATAAGTATGATTTTGGGGAGCGATGTTAAGCTCAATATAATCCAGGCACTATTCTGTTTTAAGCCCATTTGGGTCAAGTATTTTAAAGAATTTCCATGGCTACGATGAAACTTACACACGTAATTTTTCGGATCTAGCCGACCAGACTAATTTTGACCCGAGGATATCGAATTTGCTATCAGAAAATTGTGGTATACGCGTGTATGTATACCATAATTGAGACGTATGCCACAAATACTACTACTGCACACACAAGGTGTCACAAATATGGTCACACATACACACACACACACACACACACACACACACACACTGTTTAATAAATTATTGAATACAAACAGACGGACAGTTAAATTTAGTCACAATTACACATGTTTTTTTAGAATTTCTGTTTTTCCGGTAATTTTTTATTCGACGCCAATATTTGACCTATTTACACATATATTTCTACGAAAAAATGCATGTTCATGCAATTTTCAGCAGCAGAAAAATATGGCTTAATGCGAAACTGCTTTTTTAAATCGGCATGAGCGTGTTTAATATAACGTAAAATGATATTTCAATTATTAATCAGCCTCGTTATGATGTAATGAACAGGCAAAATTCTAATTTTTCTTTCAATTTTAACTTTAATCGGGATGAACTTAATAATTTTCTACCTTGTTTCGAAACTGGCT